ACCGTGTGAGCCTAAGGAAGCGGCGTGCTCTGCCCGCACCGCCGCACCATCACGCGCCTTGCCTTGGAAGCTGCCTGCCTGGAGCCACACCTGGAACTTGCCGTGGTGCTCGGCGTCGTTGGTGTAGTCCTTGCGTTGCGGCATCGATGCGACCGACAAAGAGCCCGCTGGGGTCTCCCTTGCGATTGCCTCGGTGCCCCGCCAGCGTGCTTTTGTCATCATGCTGTCGTGCCTCTCCGCAGCCGCCACGCTTCCGCGGCCTCCGCCGCGGAAAGTGGCCCGCGCCTTCGCGAATCCCGTCTTGCGGCTTTTGCCGGATGCCCACCGCTTGGCCTCATTGCGGGGGCGGCCACCGGGCCGTGCCGTGGCCACCCCCGTAGCTCGCGAAGCTGCGAACCGGGCTGCGTCCACTGCGCCGCGCCGGCGCGCCGCGACCGTCGGCCCCCGGACTCGGTTCTTCGCGGCCTGCGCCGGAGAGTTGGCGGTCGTGCGCTGGGTGGTGATCGTCATCTGTCTGCTCTGCTGTGCTTCTCGCTCGTGCGTCCTTGGAAGTTGTGCTGACCTCCTTTCACCTCCTGCTCTCCTTTGTCGGTCGATAGAAATAAAAATTCGCTCATGTTTGTGGAGAGTTCTTCGTGGGTGTGGCGGCGACTAAGATGATACCCAGAGGGCTAGATCTAAATCTGCAGGCCATGTGTCCAGATGTCACAGATAACACTCAGCGAGAACCCACAGATTGCGAGCGCCGACAACACGCCTTCCGTGGAGAAGAATGCCGCCGCGTTTCTTGCTTCGCCTGCGCGGCTTCGTGTCTCCGCTGCGCGGGGACCCACCGGGCTGCCGGCTGGGTCTCTGCCCCCGATGTCCGGCTGGGGCGACCTGTTCAAGGACAAGTATGAGGAGCGCATCGACGAGTCGACCGGCGAGACCATCATGGTGCACGCACGCTCCGCCCGCACTCCCGTGCACGCCCGCCACTCAGCCGTCGACGCGCTGCCCTATGCAGGTGGAGAAGGGCACGAAGCACCACAAGCTGGACGCGCAGGGCAACATAGTCGATCCCGACGCTGCTCCCGCGCCGAGCCCCTTTGCCGCCGCGTTCGCTGGCGGCGGCGGCAGCAGCGGCGGCAGCGGCGGCTTCCAATTCGGCGGAGCTCCAGCTGGCGGAGGCGGCGGCTGCACGTTTGGTGGTGCGCCCTCCTCCGCAGGCAGCGGCGGCTTCCAGTTTGGCGGTGCGCCCGCCAGCAGCGGCGGCGGGTTCACGTTTGGTGGCGGCGCTCCTGCAGCGGCCAACGGCGGCGGTGGTTTTGTCTTTGGCGGAGGCGCGGCAGCGCCCGCAGCAGCACCAGCGGCGGCGGCGACGGCGACGGCACGGTCCAAGCGCCCCGCGGAGGAGGCGCCGGCCTCAGTCGCCAAGCGCGGCCGCACCAACGCGCTCGTGCGGACGGGGAACGAGAGCGGCGAGCTGCTGATCGCCGGAAACGGGGACTGCGGGCAACTGGGATTTGGCGACGAGGGCAAGCGCGACAGCGTGAAGCTGCTGCTGCTGCCGATCGCGGCGGCGCAGATCTGCCAGGTGGGGTGGGCCCGGGGTAGGAGTCCGTCGGCGTGCGCCTGCGGGACGGGACTTCCGGTGGCGGTGTGGCGTGCAGTGTGGCGTGCAGTGTGGCGTGGAGTGTGGCGTGGAGTGTGGCGCGCAGTGTGGCTTGCGCGCGTGCGGTTTGGTGTGCGCTGCCTGGCTGCCGCGAAGCCCCGGCGTGCTCGTTGCCTCAGGTGGCGTGCGGAGGGCTGCACAGCATCGCGCTCGGGCTGGACGGGCGGCTCTGGTCGTGGGGCTGCAACGACGACGAGGTGCTCGGCAGGCCGGGCGAGGAGGCGGAGCCGCGCGAGGTCGGTGGCGAGCTAGCAGGTGGCGGGAGGGAGGGGGGGGAGGGGGGAGGGGGGAGGGGAGGGGAGGCTGGTGACGCGTCCCGGTGTGTGGTCGGCCAGGCGTGCCGGTGAAGAGTGGTGACTTGCCAACCCTGACCCTGACCCTGACCCTAACCCTAACCCTGACCCTAACCCTGACCCTAACCCTAACCCTAACCCCAGGCGTGCCGGTGAAGAGTGTGACTTGCGGCGACAACCACTCGGCCGCCCTGGCGCGGGACGGCCGCGTCTTCACCTGGGGCACCTACAAGGACTCGAACGGGTACATCGGCTACTCCCCCGACCTCGCAAAGGCGGGCAGGGCACCCTTTGCCCGCCCCCTGCCCTTGGGCCGAGGGGTGAGCTTGCTTGCGAGGTGGAGTAGGCCGACCAGCCGCGGCGCGTCCTTCCCGGCGTGACTGCGCGCGCCATCGCCTCGGGCACCGACCACACGGTCGTCGTGTCTGCGGACGGGTACGAGGCGCGCGGCGGCCCTAGGAAGCCAGAGCAGCCAGCAGCAGAGCAGCCAGCAGCAGAGCAGCCAGCAGCAGAGCAGGCAGGGGCAGAGCAGCCAGCAGCAGAGCAGCCAGCAGCAGCAGGCCACAGAGCAGTGGCGCGGGCCGCACAACAACCTCTTTCCGCACACCACGACCCGCGAACCACGACCCGCGAGCCACGAGCCGCGAGCCGCGAGCCGCGAGCCGCGAGCCGCCGTCCGCCAGGTGTACGCGTGGGGCTGCAACGAGAGCGGCCAGGCGATGCACGAGGAGGAGTGGCCGACCGAGAAGGCGGACAAGAAGAAGTTCACTGCGCCGGGCGCGCCTCGCTCGCTGCGGCTGCCCGCCCCTCCCGGCACCAGCCTGTACGAGCGGCACGCGAGGGCAGCCACACGCCGCCGCCCCTCGCCGAGCGAGACGCGGCACCGCCGGACGCGGCGCTGGCTCGCTCTGTAGGTGCTCAACGAGAACTTTCGCGATTGGGTCAAGGCGCGGCTCAAGGAGGACGCGGCGTGGGACGCGACTGAGGCGGCGACGCTGTACCTCGAGCACCGGGTGCGAGATATGGGGAGATATGGGGAGATATGGGGAGACTGAGGCGGCGACGCTGTACCTCGAGCACCGGGTGCGAGATATGGGGAGATATGGGGAGATATGGGGAGACTGAGGCGGCGACGCTGTACCTCGAGCACCGGGTGCGAGATATGGGGAGACACAGCAGAGACACGGCCGAGACACAGCCGAGATGTGGATGAGATCTGGACGAGATCTGGGGCGAGCCTCCACATGGCGCCGGCTGACCTGGCGCCCGCAGGCGGCCATCTCCGAGCGGCAGGCGGAGGAGTTTAAATTCGACGACCGGCTGCAGATCAAGGCGGCGTTTGCAGGCGCCCTTTCGCATCCTCCTTTCCCTCCCCTGCCCCGCCTTCGCCCGACCTCGCCCCCCTCCCCTCTCCCCCTCCCCCCTCCGCCAGGCGCGTACCACACCTTCCTGCTGACCGAGTGCGAGAACGTCTACTCGTGCGGCCTCAACAACATGGGCCAGCTCGGCCTCGGCTCGCTCGACCCAAACAAGACGAGCACCCCGACCCTGCTCGGCGGCCTGCAGGGGCTCGGCGTCTGCATGCTCGCCGGGGGCGAGCTCGGGCCTCTGGTCCGCTCCGCCAGGCGCAGAGAGGCGTGACACGAGCCGACACCCCGCGCTAGGCGAGCACCACTCCCTCGCACTCACCACTCGCGGCGATGTCTACGCCTTCGGGCGCGGCGACAACCACCAGCTCGGCTTGGGCGATGGCGTCCAGCAGCAGCCGACGCCGACGCTCGTGGCGGCGCTCTGCGGCGTCGCCGGCCACAAGATCGTGTGCGGCCACTCTCACAACCTGGTCGTCTCGCGCTCGGGCGAGACGTAGCCGAGATGTCGCCGAGATACCGCCGAGTTGCAGCTTCTCACACACGGTTCGGGCGAGTCGCGCCCCTCCTCCCTCCTCCCTCTCTCCCACCCCCCCTTCACCCTCTCACCGGGGCGGTCTCCGTGCAGGCGACCTGTACGCGTGGGGCGTCGGCGACATGGGCCAGCTCTGCACGGGCCGCGGCGAGGACGAGACCGCCCCGACGCTGGTTGAGGGGCCTGAGCTGGCGAGCCGCGCGGTGCTCGACGCGAGCACGGGCGGGCAGCACTCCGTGCTCGTGGGCATGCCGCGACCCAGCTGAGTCGGTCGCGGCCGGGCCCTCAACGCACCGGGCGAGGGCAGTGATGGGCCCAGAGGAACACCTCTTTAGTCTTTACATCCCCCCCCACGCGCGCGCCACACCGCAATATATTGATACTGAAAACACCACATGCGCGCGTCGTCCGTTACACAGATCGGTCTCTGACAGATGTCGGGGCGCGATTACCATGTTCAAACTCCGCACTTTAATTCGAACTTTCTCGCCTCGGCTCGTGGGGCTCGGGAGTAGTCAAGCAGGTGTGCGGGGTGGGCGGGAGGGGGCCTGGGAGCATTTTTTTGCATTTCCGAGGCGAGCGTGGGCCGTGGTGGGCCCCTCCGGGCCTCTCTCAGCAGCACGGAAAGTAGCGCGCGACAGAGCGCTGTTCTCGGCCCCCTGAGCGTATTGGGACGAGCCAGACTAGCATGCACATCGCCTTGGCACGTAGGACGCACGACTTACCCACGCACACCCCGGTGACAATCTTGGAAATCTCCCGACAATCTCCCCAAATCTCCTCCCGCTCTCGCGAGTAGCGCGGCGCAGCGGGGCGCGTTGATGTCGATGAATGCAGTGTGGACTCCTTTTCGACACTCTCTAGCACCGGTGAACACACAGGCGTTGCTTCCGAGGTGGTAAAAATCTGTGAATGCCCGCCGAAGTTGTCGCGGTTTTCCGACTTGTCTCGTGCTCGAGCCATGCCGAAAAGAGCGGGCGCAGGCCTGGGACAGCGTCGCAAAAGCGGCCAAGGAGTCCGTCCCGGCTCCAGGCCAGGACCAGATCGCCGCTCGGTACCGCCAGTTTGCGACTCTGTGCCTGCGCAGTCGTCGCTATCTCACGCTTCCGATCTCGTCACAACAGGCGCCCTCGCCGAGTGCAACGTCCTCGCGGCCGCAAAGCCGTGCTGGCTCGCGCAGAGTCGGCGTCGCAAAGAACCTGAGAGCACCGCGGCATGCTACGGTTGGCGACGTCCTCGGCGAGGCCATGGAGCTGCATAGCACGAGCGACGAGGGCCGCCGCGACGGGATCTACAACCAGAGAGAGCACGGACGCCGAGGATCGCTCTCCCGTGCAGCGCCGCAGCGGCTCGTCGGCGGCTCGTCGGCTGCGGCCTCGAACGGAGATCGCATGGAGGTTGACGAGGAACCTCGCGCGGCGCAGCTGCCGATGACTGGCGAAATGGACGTAGACGGCAGTGATGACGACGACGACGTCGACTCAGAGGCGGAAGGGGAGGCGGCGGAGGAGGCGGAGGCGGCGGCGGCGGACGCTGCCACGGCCGCGCAGCAGCACGACGGAGGCGCGACCGAGTCGCCGGTGTCATCGATCGCCGAGACGCGGTCCCGGCTCCTGAAGGACCGCGTCGCGGAGATCACCTACCGCGACGAGCCCGGCGTCTACCTCGCTCTGGTTACGGAGACTCCAGCCGCCAGGGCAAACAAGGTCAGCCACCTTTGGCTACACGAGGTGCTGGATGGGTCGGACCTCTACATCATGGATCCGTGGAACCGCGGCGAGTCAAAGACTCCGATCCGCAAGGTGGCCGAGCCGCTGTCGAGCGTGGAAGAGCTGCTGCCCGCCGAGGCCGGGCAAGCTTTGGCGGGCGAGGCGCTACGTCTTGCTCTGGACGCGATCCGGAGCGACCCCGGCGCGCGGCTCCAGCCCGGCACCCTCCGCGTGTGGCGTCGGGCACGCGCAGACCCTCCCTCCTCCGCCACCGCTACTGGCACCTCCGCCTCCGCCGCCACTCTCAACCGCGCGGCCGCCACCAGCTCTGCCAGCTCCGCCGCCGCCACTTCCTCCGCCGCGGCCTCTAGCTCCACCACGGATGCGGCCTCTAGCGGTGCTGCTGGCTCCGCCCAGGCCGGTTCGTCTACCGTCTCCTCAGAAGCTGGGCTCGGCATCTCGTGGACAGAGCTTAGAGCCGACGCTCTACGGCCGGGCGACCCAGCGTCGCTCGAGCTGCCCCGTGCCGACGGACAGGTACGACGAGCACTTGAACGACATCATTGTGCATAACATGCAGGACCTCTCACCGTGGGCCGACAGCCAGGACGTGCAGGCGAGGGCGCCGATCTCGGGGATGACGATTCGCGCCGGATCGCTCTTCAACCGCTTCAAATCGGGAGCCCCCACCGGGTGGGTGGCGAAGCTGTTCGCGGGCGAGGCACCGACGGAGCGCAAGCTGGTCATGCAGCGCTTTACCGACGGCAGCGAGTTTGGCGGGCACTGGCACCAGCTCCTCTTCTTCGTCGACCAGAGACGGGTGCTCTACCACGAGCCCTATGGCGGCGCAATCGACTCGGGCATCGCGTCTTGCTTCCACCGGAGCCCCGGGCCTGCCGCCGGCTGGGCGCTGGAGGTGGTGGATGTGCAGCTGCAGTCTTGCACTCACGAGTGCGCGCTCTGGGTGGACTTTGTCGCGGAGGTGGCTGTCGACTACGTGAGGAGCGACCTGACTCGCTCCTTCAGCGAGTACCTTCGCGGGTGCGCTCTCCCTGTGTGTGTGTGTGCATGCCTGCGATAAGGCTGACCGGTGTCGCGCCGCCCCCGCAGGCGTGAGGAGATCACCCCGCTCAACGGCATGCGGCGGACTTGCACGGCGATGAAGACGGCGAAGGCAAAAAACAACGCCTTCGTCGCACAGCGCCGAAACGACGTGCGCACGCTGTTACGTCTAGCCTATGTCCAGCGCCAACTGCCGCACACAGGCTCCGCAACGCTGACCGCCTTTGGCGCAGCGGCGGAGCAGGAGCCTGCCGAGGACACAGACTCGGACTTTGAGATGTTGACCTAGACCGACGTGTGATTCAGATAGTTGTCTTCAGATGTGTGTGTGATTCAGATGTGTGTGCGTGTGATTTTCGGCACGGGTATAGATTAGAAGGAACGTATCGTCACACACACCCTCTTTGAGAGAGGGACACAGCGTGGTGCACAGTAGCGGGCTAGCTTCTACAGAGGCAACCGGTCCGATGGCGAGCGTTTCGCTCGCCCTGATGCGCATGAGCGACGTGGAAGCTCTCGACCGGCGCAGATGCCACGGGCGACACCAATCCCAGCCTCAAAAGGCGAGGAGGGCTGGTGGAGTGCCCAGACGGCAGTGGCTTCCGAAGAACTTTTTGCGGGTGACGCAAAGGATCCGAGGAGAGAGCACCTCGGCTGCCGGCGAGGCATCCGCCCCGCGCCCACACATCTGATGGAAAGTGCGAAGAGGCGGTGGCGGCAGGCTAGCCACCGGTGGGGCACACGGAGCGATATGGCGTTCGGCTGCGATTTGAGTGCAACCGGGTGACGCATCTCCTCCACAGAGACGCGGGGACGGCGTGCCTGCGAGGCGCCCGATATGCGCCAACGGACCCAATGGAAAGTGCGAAGCGAGCACTCGACGGCTCGCAGCCTGTGGACGGAGCACGAGAGCTCGAACCTCGCACTCTCGTGCAAAATCGGCACCTCGGAGCGCCTTTTTCACACCGCATTCGAGCCCATGAAAACAACAATGTACCCCAAGCAGCACGATCACGCCTCGCACCGGTGCGGTGGTGCCGGGCGGCTCTAGGGGGTCAGGCTGGCTGCATGGCACCACCCGTAGCCCGTTTTGCTGCCCTGGCATCACCCGGAGGGGGGATTGAACATGGTAGCGCGTGTGTTCTCTCATGCTACTTAACACGTACGTACGACTCCAGCTGATAGTGATTAGTGTGATGTACCATGGGACTCGAGCGCCATGGGAAAGCAGCGTCCGAGAGTTGCTTTTCGCGCGGCCCCGCTCACGCGCGGATGCCGTCGCTGGTCGAGATCGCACGCATCGGGGGCTGGCCGTCCTCCCTGGCCACCGGCACCGCCCCTCCGGCCTGCTGGTGACGGTCTGACGCCTTCTTGAAGTACTCGGCCGAGCCTCCCGCCTCCTCGCTCGCAGCGTCGATGCCGAGCGCAGAGCGCATCGAGGCGGAGAGGTAGCGCGGCGGCGAGTTCTGGTCCATGTCCTGGAAGGCGCAGAGGTAGACGGTGTCGAGGATGGCCTCGAAGACGTTGGAGATGCCCGACGCGACGAACCACGCGATGACAAACACGGCGGCGGCGGAGTAGAGCGGCGAGTGGCTCGCCGTGAAGTCGTCGAGCGAGTCGAGGTAGAGGAAGCAACAGGCGGAGGCGAGGAAGGGGGTGGAGAGGCCGAGCAGCACGCCGCAGAGCAGCCGCTTGACGAGCGAGTTGATCGCGGTCTGCGCCGGGTACTTGACGATCAGCCCAAACGTGTCTCGGCAGGCGACGCAGAAGCTCGTGCCGTCGATGGCGATGTGCACGTACGCATAGTACGACACAAACTCGACACACTTTTCGAGGCACCAGAGGGCGCACATGGCGCACTTGAAGAGGAAGCGGACGAGGAAGTTGCGGTCCGCCTTCGTCTGCTTGGTGGCCGCGTGGACCGCGTACAGCACGAGCCGGAGCAGCTGGCAAATGGTGATGCAGGCGGAGCCAAACGCGAGCGAGCCGAGGTGGCGCGTGGACACGGTCCAGGCGGCGTCGAGCAGCTTTGGGAAGCCGAGGCCGGAGGACCAGCCGCGGCAACACTTTGCGGCGCCGCAGCAGCCGTCCTTCTCCACGTTGGTGGTGACGAACCAGTAGGCGACCGCGGCGGCCATCGTGGTGTAGTCGCACGCCTTGATGAACTGGATCGCCCACAGCGTGCCGGCGACGTGCGCGAGGGCGAGCAGTGTGGTGGTCGAGCCGCCTCCCCAGACGGGCGGGTAGGAGATGACCGCGAGGCCGAAGACGCCGTACACGAGCCAGGCGGCCTGGAAGCCGAGCTCGACGAACGGCCAGATCATGAGCGACGGCAGCGTCGAGAAGACCTTCGTCGCCTCCTCGGTGATGGCCACCGCCCTGCGGATGGCGCGCCACGAGGCGCAGAACCAGAGCAGCATGACCAGCGTGGCCGCGATGGAGAGGACGGCAAAGACGACGTACCAGTCCTTGGACAGCGAGCCGGCCGGCACGAGCAGCGACTCCGCCTGCGCGGACGCGATGGCGGCGGTGTCGTTGCTGGCGACGGCGCCGAGGGCGTCCTCAAAGGTGGAGTACGCGTCGGTTGGGACGTCGAGCCAGCCGGCGTGCACGCACAGGATGGCGGAGAGCAGGACCATGCCGCCGAGCAGCAGCGCGAGCAGCGACCAGATCACCACGCCCGCGAAGAGGGAGAGCAGCACCGCGTAGATGAAGCCGAGCGCCACCGGCAGCGCCACGCCAAGCGCCAGCACGACCCGCCACGAGGCGGCGATGGAGTCCCACATGCGCAGCGTGAGCGCGACGTACTGCGCAAGCTTGCGCGTGAGCGCGTCCGTCGTCTCGTCGCCGTCGGCCGGGAGGAAGGTCTGCGCCGTCTCGACCCGCACCGCAACCTCGCACGCCTTCTCCTGCGCGTCGCAGACGGCGCTGCCGGTGTCCTCGGCGCACACCTCCCACGTCTCGCGCTCGTCGGCTCGCGACGGGATCACGGCGCACTCGGTCACGTTGATGGCGAGCGCGCTCATGGCATACGAGCAGTTGGGAGAGACGCACAGAACCTGCTCGGGCGCCGCAAAGGTGTTGCCGAGAGGGAGGCAGCGCCCGTACAGGTTGGCCGTGCGGAAGGTGTAGGTAAACTCGGGCGTGGTGTAGTTCCAGCTGGAATCGTCCTTGACGGCGTCTCCGGTGGGGTAGTCCGCGCCGCCGTACACGCTCAGGGCGGACTCGGAGAGCGACAGGCCGTCTGGGCACTCGGCGACGCAGAGCGACGTGAATTTGAGCTTGTAGTACTCCCAGAATGGAAGGCTGCTGGCCTCGGCCACCTGGCTCGCAAAGTCAGCGTCGAGCGTCGGGTACAGCGCACGCGGGAGGTCCTCCGTCGCCGAGCCGGGCTGCCCGCAGAACTGTCCATACTCGTCCCGCGGGTACCTCAGGATGTTGACGATGTCGGGCTCCTTGATCACCGACATGACGGTGACGGAGATCATCGCACCCCAGGTGGCGAGCAGCAGGAGCAGGCAGAGCACATCCGTGCAGCCGCGGTCGGAGCGTTTCGCGTAGACCGCGTCTCCGCCCATCTTCGCCATGTGCTCAGCAATGAGCGTCACAGGAGCCGCCCTCCCGCTCAAAGCGGGCGCGGGTTTGGAAGAAATCGTGCTGGAATTCGCGCAGAGAACGATCCCATCCCTAGAAGAGAACGACGCGACAGAGGAGGAAGTGACAAGGGAGAGAGCGACGAGAGTGGGACGGCCGCGAGGTGGCACGAAGGTTGAAGCGAGAATCGGAGAGGGACTGCGAAGAGAGATAGGAAGAGGCAGACTCCCTAGGGTAGGCGACGGCTAGCGCATCACACTCCTCTCCTTAAAATCCCTGTGTGGTGGCGGCGTGCCGTTCTCCCATCCCTCCCTTGGGTTGTCTGTTTTCTTTCTTTCTTTCGATCCCATCCCTCCCTTGGGTTGTCCGTTTTCTTTCTTTTTCAGGGGCAACGATCGCAAGGTGCTAAATAAATGGAAAGAGGAGGGTGATGTTCCCGGGCATTCACACTATATTCCTCTGAGATAATATTATATTTCGCCGCCACCGCGGCGCGCGCGTTTATCCGCGCGCTATATTAGTAGAGCCAAACTTGTGTTCTTGTTTTGGATCAAACTTGTTACAGCGAACACGATGCGGCCTCTGCCTAGCTTCCTGCTCCTATGCGCGAGCTACGGCGTGACCGCTATCGATAATGACTTCTCTACCGGGAAGAACGGCCTCGACTACTGCATCGCCGAGGCCGACACCACCAGCGACATGACAGCGTCGACCACCATGGCAGCTCCAACGTGTGCGCTACCATGGACAAGTCTTGCACCCTATATGTCAGCAAGAAATCGCTGCGAGTGAGAGGAAGGTCGCTGTTCGAAACCTATATAGCATACCGGGGGAATTAGACACCACAGATACGCACACACCGACGCCCGAAGTGCCAAGAAGGACGTCACATTAGTACGAAACCTCAGAAGGCCATGGGCGCCGAGAGAACATTCCCCCGAGAGGACAAAAAGAAAAGACTAACCCGAACCTCCTTCCCTGGTTCCCCCCGACAAATGCCGCCGTTCTCCGGGCATGCTATCCTGTGTAAGCAGGGCAGGTGGGGGAGGGGGGCAGTCCCTTTGACGTATGTATCTCTGGGTTCTGTCTCGAGGTTCTGTCTCTAGCGTCGGAGGCAAGGCAGAAGATAAGAATATTCAATTTTGAAGGTTTGAGCCCCCCTCCTCCCCCGGGCCCCCGAATCGAGATTGGAGATTGGAGATTGGAGATGGACGATCGGAGATCTGACTGAATCCGGCCTAAGATGACGACGTTGGAGATTGGAGATTGAAGATGGAGATCGGAGATCTGGCTGGATCCGGACCAAGATGTAGCGACGCTGGAGATTGGAGAGTACTGGAGAGATGGAGATCGGAGCCCCCCAGCCCCTAGTGGTGTCTCATCGATTTTTTTGTTTTGTTTTTAGATAAAGGTTCTGTGCGCGGACGGCCCGGGGAGCCTGCGGCGCCATTTTAATCTGCGCTCCTCTTTATGGCCTGCGGCGCCTGGCTTGAGCTTGGAAGTGTAAACGAGTCCGCCAGGGCGGTCTGCAAACGGAGTGCGCTGCGCGCGCGGTCTACGGCGAACTTGTTTGCCGAGTTGGCAGCGTGAACCACGATACCGCCCCCAGTTCGGCGTAGACCGCGCGCGCCGCGCAGCGCGCTCCGTGTTTGCAGACCGCCCTGGATCTCCGATCTCCATCTCCAATCTCCAATCTCGATTCGGGGGCCGGGGGAGGGGCGGGGGGGCTCGAACCTTCAAGGAGATGCGCTATGGATTCATTCACACTGACCATCGCTCTCATCTCCAATCTCCAATCTTCTACTTGGCCACTGTCGCCGCCGGCAGCAATCTACGACCTCCATTTTCAATCTTCGATCTCACATCTGGGGCGGATGGCTGGGCGCTAGGATCTACAATCTGCATTCTCCATCTCCTGTCTCCACATTTTGGCCCGTGTTGCTGCTCATCGATCTGCAATCCACAATCTCAATCTTCGATCTTAGTCTTGAATGGGGAACCGGACACAGGAGGGATCTGCTGGCGAGACTTGGGCGTGTCCGTGTGAGAGATCCGCTAGGATCTCCAGTCTTGATCTTGAATTGTAACCATGCTTGTGATCACGACCGATGCGAGGACGCAAGTCCACCAAACTCGGCCATTCCAACGGCCAGGCCGCTCGCTTAAGGCTGATTGGCTAGACGAGCGGTCTACCTCCAACGGGGCGGTCTGGATCACGGTTGGAACGCGTGGAACCTGTGCCCACCTCGGTGGGATGTGGTTTGGCGCCGACAGACCGCCCTCTCCATCACCCTCGCCCAGGGATCTACAATGCTGTCTAAAGGTCCGACAGGTTCGGCACCGGGCACCGCCTCGGTATACAAAATGCGCCTGCGGGCGGACCCTTACAGATCACAGATCACTATCTCTACCCCAACGATCTACTGGTCTTGGGTAGAGATCTCCATTACTCGCAGTCCAAGTAGGGCGCATCTTAGATGCATATTATCTCAAGATGCGCATATCATCTGTGTAGATGGGGGGGTCGCCGCCCCTGACGGTCTTACAAGAGCGGCGAGGCGCGGGACCGTCTCGCGTCTGTGGCGGAAGTGGGCTGAGCCCTGGTCTGACAGCCTGACAGCAAACCCCGGACAGCGCCTGACCTCGCCTGACAGTGCCCGACAGCCTGACAGCGCTGACAGCACTTTCGACAGCCCGACAGCACACAGTGGTCTGACAGCAGCGCTGACAGCCCGACAGCAGCACAGACCGTACACAGACCCCGTAGAGCCTCTTTCTTGTGCCCCATGAGGGTGTAACAAAATTACATGCAAAGACATGCACATGTCCACGCACATGTGAGTGTGGTCCATGTCCATGTAGT